AGTTCCAACTCTTCTGCAGCAGCAACCTCCAACCAGCCCAAAAACACCTCGTCTGCCGCAACAACAGCAGCAGCACAACCACCACCAACACCAACAGCTGCCTCCACGCCGCCAATCTCAAAGGCAAATCCCGCAGACTCGTCCCGCCTACCGCCCACGAGCAGGACAAAACACCACTACCACCAGCACCACCCCTCCACTCGCTTGCAACATATCCGCACTTCTTCTTCCTCTTCTGCGTCACGATCTTCTAACGAGACCTCGATCACCCCCACGTCAACTACCCTCTCGATCCCGCAGACAGCGTCTCCCACCGACTCGCGCGCGCCGTCCTCGCCATCATCGCCGAAGAAGCTCAAGCACAAGCACCACCACTCGCTCCAGGAGACACGTGCTGCCGGCGACCACGGCTTCGGCTCCCTCCGCTCCAGAGCGCCGGCGCGCCTCCGCAAGGAAAGCGGCAGCTTGAGCTCCTACGCCAAGTTCGCGCTCGCCTCCCCTCCGACACCCCGCACCACGGGCCTCACTCCCACGGAGATAAAACATGTCGCCATGCTCGACATGGACATCTCGGGTCGTCATCTGACCGCCGCCAAGGCGACAGGCACTCTGCCCTTCTCCCGCACCGATAGCTTGTCCTCGGCCGCGCCTTCAACAGCGTCCATCTCGGCCCGCACAATGACCTCGACCGACCCCACTTCGTCGTTCGACGCCTCGCGTCCCTTCGTCTTGAAGAATGGGCGCCAGTACTTGTCCGACAACTCGCTACCCTACCCGCTGCCCGTCGATCTGGTCGAGCTGCATCGCCAGTCAATGCGCACGCTCATGCTGATCCAAGTCTTTGGCTCGCCATTGTGCTCACAGGGAAACGAAGTCAAACCACCAAGTCGCGTGCTCGAGATGGCATGCGGCTCCGGCTTCTGGAGTCAAATGTGCTTCCGCTACTTCAAGGGAAAAGGCCACACAGACACCGAGTACACCGGCATGGATATTGGTCCCATGGGCGCAACCGCCGGCGACGTGGATCGCGACATGAAGTGGCGCTATGTACAGCATGACATGCGCACGATGCCCTGGCCCTTTGCCGACGGCGAATTCGACCTGATCATGGTCAAGGACACTAGCTTGGTAGTGACAAGTCCGCACTCCGTCCAGTCCACCATGGACGAGTACATCCGCATCCTGCGCCCTGGCGGCACCATTGAATTCTGGGACAGTGACCACCAGATTCGCATGCTCCGACCCCACGCCGCGCCACTGGCCCTAGACACTCCAGAAGGCGCCGCCGCCGTGGCGCTCGGCGCATACCCCCTGTCATCCAAGACACCACTCAGCGCGCCGCTGAACAACTACCTCGTCGAATATAACTCGTGGGCCCACCGCGCGCTCGAGTCGCGCAACCTCAGCCCCGTGCCGTGCACCATCATCGGCCCCGCGCTCATCCAGGAGTGCGAGGTGCTCAAGGACATACAATCGCGCCGCCTGGCGATCCCGCTATCGGAAGTCCGCTGGGAGCGCGAGGGCGTCGGCGGTGTCGTTACCAAGGACGGCAAGTCGTACATCGAGACGGGCAAGGGCAAGTCCAAGCCGGACTCGCAGAAGAAGACGCTCACGCCCGCGCAGGCGGCCCTCCGCCGCACGGCGCTGACGACCGTCGTCCAGCAGATCCAGAGCTTGGAGCCGCTCCTTAGGGAAACCTCGGGCAAGAGCCAGGACGAGTGGGATGGCTGGCTTGGCAAGATGATGAACGACTTGACCAGGGAGAACGGCACGAGTTGGGGAGAGTGCCTGGAGGTAGGCGCATGGTGGGCGAGGAGGAAGTAGTGAGGCACGGCTTGATGAAACGAAAGGTTTTTATTGCATTACTGTTGGAGCTATCTCACAGGACCATCTCATCCTCCCCGCTTGAGGCGACCATCACGCCCCGGGAACATACCGCTTCCTCAGTGTTCGGTATCGTTTGAGGTAGTACCTGCGAGATCGTTAGCATGCCAATCAGTCGCACAGCAACAGCAAGACACAGAAACAGAAGCAAGGAAACGCGCAGAGGCAGAGGAACGGTTGAAGTGTGCAGTTCAACATCGAGATACCCCCCATCATCATCATCAATCTACATCATATATCAACCAATATTTACATTCACCCATATCTCATCTTGACTTATTGACATGTGAAGCGACGTATTGACCTGAAGTTGATCTTTCGATAGTGCGGCAGGTGGGGGAAGGGAAAGGGGACTTGGGACTTCGACCGGTAGATGCTCGCTCACGTGGCAGGAATAATATGGAGCTTGTGCTTGCGGCGGGGACGATTCCGCGTGTTCAAGTGAGATCGACATGAAGAAGGCGTGGCGACAGGGGTGGGTAGGGCGGTCTCGGTCCCCTCCCCAGTGTGAATCCACAAAGTGTGCGGAAACAAAAAGGGTGAGTTCGAACTTACAAGGCTTCGATTTCTAGAGGGGGGGAGTGGTTAGCATTGGCCTTTGAGTGATCTTGGTCGACGAAGCTCAGGTAGGGGAGGTGGGAAGAGGGCAGGGGAGTGAGGGATGGATTGATTGACGTTCAGGAGTTGCGGGAGATGTGGGCCGCTGGGCTCTGTGTTTCTTTGTGAATGGTGATGGCCCTGTGCGAGGCGAGATGAGGCTGGCGTTTTGCTCGAGGGGTTATGTGATGTGGAACTGGCGGTTTTGGGAAGACACTTCTTCTCCTGGGACGGGGTCGTGAGGGACGGGTATGGAGGGCGGAAAGTATGTTGTGCGTGTTGATGAAGGGGTTCATGTTGTGTCGCTTGACGCTGTGAGGTACGTGACGTTGTGATATCTCCTGCGGCTGTGAGGGGCTCGAAAAGTCCCCTTCCCCCCCGGTTGGTGTGTCGAGAAAGTCGAGATGTAGGTCCGGCTGCCGCTGGATATCTCGACTTGAGAACGGGATGGTATGTGACAATGACATCGGACGTGTCCATGTTGTCGAATGGTGGAGAGTTTGTTTTTGCCGGGACTTATGTCTTGAGACAGGAGCGGTTGTTGTAGGTTGTCCTTTGGTTCGGGTTTTGCTCTACTTCTCTCTGGAGTCGTGAGGCTCTAGGTGGGTTGGTTGTTGATAAGCACCAGTCTGAGCGTGCTGGTATGCCACGGCCATGAGGTGCCGCATGGAAATGCGGTTCTTAGTCCGGATTTTCAGGGGACAGTGGGGTTTGAGGATGTCTTTCGTGTTGGTTGAGCCCCGAGACACTGCTTCCTCGAGAGCAAGACCGTGTGCTGGGGGCTTAGCATTGGCCAGCTTTCTCGGAGGAGTGCCGTGATTCCAGCTGAAGCCAGCGGAGGAGGGACAACCTCTTGAGGGACGGCTCTTAAGTGCTGGCGAAGCCGAAACGAGAGAGTTCTCATTCAACATCGACGCTGGGTCGGTTCGGGATGGTCCTCGGGCTTGTCGTCTCCCAAGACACAGAGCTTCTGGGCTTAGATACAAGCACACCTTATCGTGGATGAGCCATCTAACAGGGGATCGGGACAGCCGAGGAAGAGATGTTCTGAACTCGACTCGGAGGGATGTGAAATTGGCATCAGCGCCAGATGGAAGTCCGCAGGGGAGTGTTGTGCATACAGCATATCCTCTAAATGGAGATACACCTCGTGGACCTAGACTCAGAAGTATCCTCGAGGTACCGACGTCCGAGAGAGGAGAAACAACGCCTGTCCGATAGCGGCAAAGATGATGATGCTGATGATCCCCTCAGCCAAGAACACAATTCCATCTGGCCGAGAGCGTAGAAAGACTGAATCAGAGTCCAACTTGGGTCGGCACTTTTTGAACAATAATAGCCACCAAGGTCGAAGTTTGAAGGTGAGGATCGTGCAGGGAAACCGTCGACCAGGCCAGCATGCGAGGTAGCTTCCACCTGGTGCTTCAGGAAAATAGAAATGAGGAAAGAGGATTGCAGTGACTCCAGGCAAACCGCCAACCAAACCGCGTCCAACAGCGAACACGGTAGACCTGCCTCTTGGACGATGCCACTTGACAACCCCACGACAGTCCACAGGCGCCTTGAAGGTAGTGGAAGTAATGACCTAGACGGCCCGGTAGGAGAAAAGACGCGAGGCGACAGACGGGACAAAGGAAGGACAGTACTGGATGTGAAGACACAAGACGAATGGAGCACGACCTACCCTTCTTCACAAACTCGGCTCTCTGGATGCCCTTCTCGATCGCCTCTTCGTCTCTCAACCCCGCGTTGGCGCTGAAGGCCCGGTGTAGGCGTGGGCGGAAGTAATCATATCCGAGGGGGTACTCGCGTCCGAGGAAGAGCAGTTCTATGGTCTCATTAGCGATGTTCGAGGTGATGATTGTTTGATCGCAAGAGGCAAATGGTTGGCGACAGTGGACCTGGAAACCGAGCAGCAATTCAAGCTTGACGTGACTTGACTTGGGGCTTTCCGATGACCGAGAGTGTCAAGCTCCCATGAGGCATTCACTCAGCTGATTAGTCTTGCGTGTATCCACGGGAAGCATTGTCGGCAACATTGCGTGCCGCTCATGAGCAGATATAAGTCATTGACACCCAGGACGACCCTCGAACAAGACCGATATGAAGCAAGGATGAAAGCCCACTAACCTTTGTAAATGGTGATCACGCGCCTCCTCAACTCAGGATTTAGGGCGCTCATCTCGAGTTGCCGGATGTTACCGCGCAAGCAACTCAGAATTCAGTCTGCAACGAGATAGCTGATCGTGTAGGTCAACGCCGCCGGGATGTCGTCGGTTCCGTGGCGATGAGGTCGGATCCCTGACGAATGATGCAACACCCCTCCGTCCACTTGCGGCCCCACAGTACCACCAATGCGCTTCTCCAATTGGCCATACCACAGCTCAGCTCCTTATCTTATCAGTCGCCAGCCAGGTTCCTCGTCTCGCCCGATCTACGGCCTCAAACTTCGCGACAGAAACCAACCATCGATCCGCTGGTGCAGACCAACCCGACGCACGAAGCCGACCATCGACGAAATGTTGTGCGCGAGGGCAGCTCGCACAGCGCTGCTACGACGCCCGGCACTCCTCCTCGTTCGCCAGACCCCTTCCGCCGCCGCCCTCCGCATTGCAGCATCGAGTCCTCGACCGTACAGCCAAGCCAGCAGCATCGCAAATCCCCAGCCGGCAGAGTTGCGGAGCGCCACTGAAGACCTCCTCTTGGCTCTCGATCAGGCGGAAGCGGCCGACCTGGCGGCGGTCCAAGACGTTGACGAAGTCGAATACGAGCTTCCATCAAGACCGGATGACGGGCTGACCGCGAAAGAAACAATCGACAAGCTCCTGCTCAAACCGAAACCCGCTCCGCAATACCTCAACGCCAGCTTCTTTCTCAAGCGCATCGGGAAATGCCTCATGTTTGGCTGCAACGAGGAGCAGGTCGCCGTGGCGGCCCGCCTTGTGCGCCAGATCGCCAAGGACTTTCCTCGATTGCAAATGGCTCGGTCCAACGCCGTCGTCGACCCCAGGGCCGTGTATACAGAAAGGCTAGACATGACGAAACGAATCGAGCTCGAGCCCTTGTCCAAGACGTTCGGAGTGAGCAGCAATAAATCCCTCCAAGACTCGACGCGCTCATCGCTGACATTGTTGACCAATCTTGCAGGGAATCCCGCGGCCATTTCCACTCCCGAAATTGGTTGAGGTGGCCGTCTTGCGATATCTCGACTATGTCGCTTCAACTTCCCCCTCTGACGTAAAGGTGAAATGGGATCAGATTCAACGAATACAACGGAAGACCTGGAAGGTTGATTCCCACTCGCTGAGCCATAAGCCGGTGTCGCCGCTGGCCATCCAAAATATGCAGTGGCCGTCGAACTTGCGATACGTGAGTCTAGTTTACTAAAAGGACGTTGTCCGAAAAGGGCTAAATGGTTGCGTAGGATCGGACACGTAAAACACAGAACATCTCTCTGTATACCCGTTTGGAGAGCTTCACTGAGATGGATCGCCGCGTCAAGTTCATTCTCGACGTGGCCTTATGGTCACATTCGGCCAACGCTTTTCTTGTGAACGCAAAAGCCACACTGGTATTTCTCTACCCCCGGAAACAGTTGCAGGGCAAGTCAACCCGCTGGTTTGCGGAAGAGATGGAACGTATGCTGAATCATGCGACGCCCGAGGTCTGGCAGGAGGGCAGAGACTTGATAGACACAATCCGCATATTGGAGTCGCAGACTTGGAATAGGGCGGACGCGGTCGAGGACTTGGGCAGTGCTTCGTCGGCTTGAGATGCCCTGAAACCCGAGCGGCCCATTCGACAACAACAAGCAACTTCCGACGAGGATCTAAATCCAAGGGGTAGTATCCCTCGATGCTGACCAGGTCAAGTATCTACCAGAGCCAGGGCACCTCTGCCAGAAGTACGACGTGGAGATATCTGGACGATGTCTATTGGTTTGTTGGCCAGCCAATGCGCAGTGCAAAGTTGTGGATTGTCGCTTGCAGTGGCCTGGTGGACCTCGTTGACAGTACGATCTCCCGCCGAAGAGAGGAGGCAAGAATTGAGGTTCCTACAAGACCTGGCGGATGTCAAACGCGAATGGCATATCATTTGCGCTAGCCGCAGAGTGTCCAAAGCATCAGGAGCCGTTCGCATGGTCTCTGGGCATACTGCGAGCCATAGTCGGGTCACGGCCAAGCAGGCGACAGCCGCTTAAACCTTCCGTGAACTGCGATGATAAGAACTGTCCTGCGTGATACAAATGCGACAACGTTGAAAGCACGCCATGGTCAAACATGAACACTTGTGATATCTGATCTCAACGCAACATTGGCTGGAAGCGCGGATATGACATGGATGCTGTTGTATGATTGGCGGTTGGTGATTGGTACGGATGAAAAGGGTATCCCCCAAGTGAATAGGCCTTGTGGATTGCGCAAGGAAATCTTCCTATCCTGCCGGCGTGACTCCGGGCCCCATCACGGGACGGATCCAGTTCGACGGGACGAGAAATTCGGCGAGGCTAGCAGAGAAAAATTCTCCTGAAAATTCTGCCAATAATTTACTGCCAAAGAAAAGTCTTCTCGGTCATAGTCCACGACGAGACGGTCTCGTGTCCACTGTCTGGCGCTGCAAAATTCAGACTGGCTTCAAAGGGTCGAAAGCCCACCGAGAGATCCGCATCGCTCGGAGCTGCCCTGGCGCTATTACGTTGTGTCACCTCACGTCGCCGTGCAAATGTGTGCGCCGCCATCGAGGGGCAGCTCCTCGCGGCCAGACCGCCTTCGAGATTGGGTGTCACAGTGCGAAGGGTGACTTCGAGGGGTTCATCAACCCCGCTAAGCAGCCGCAGAAATATAACGGTCTGCAGGGCACCAATCACGGCCCGACATGCCCGTAGGTTGCCAAGCTTTATTTGCTCTCGACGAGATGGAGGGGAGGTGACTAGGAGGAAGCGGAGGGAGGGGTGAAGCCCTCTGAGTTGCATGGGAGGCGTGCTGCACTGCAGGAAGCTGGCGCCCTGAAGCTTATTCCCGAGTAGTCTCGATGTTAGATCAGGCGATGGTCCTCTGGAATGCTGCTGCAGGCGGTCGATGATTGGACAGATCCTGAAGAATCACAGTCAACAGTCGATAGTCGACAGCGCAATACTTATTCGTAGGTGACATCGCATCTCGTTCGTCGTCCTCGCCAGCACAACTCTAACAAGCTTAGAGCCCCCGCAGGACGGCCGTGCCACTGACTCTCTGGGAGGATTGTCGTCGGTACCACGAATCAGACATCGCGACTGCAAATTGCTCTCCACGACATTCCGAGTCAGCAGTCCACTGGATTGAATGGGCTGTGACATGGGAGGCAATCTGGCAGCAAGCTGGGAACGGCCAAATGCCGACAGGCAGATCGACTTGCTTTACCGCTCTGCGCCTAGCTCCTTTTCCTTTCTCGTTGTTCATGCTCAAGACCTGGGGACGAAGTGGGGGTAGCTGAGGCCCTCAGGTTGCATTTGCCAATTCCCTCTGCTGTGACTTGTCAAGTGAAGGGCAGCAGCCGGGATAGGGTGTGCTTGCTCTGCTGAGCGCTGCATCTTCCTGGACTGTTCTCTCCTTTCTTTCGGCACGTTACGACGTGCTAATCGGAGGATAATTAGCTAAACAGGTGGATATGGCGGCAAAAAAGCTTGACCCTGCAAGCAATGCTGCTGGCACCGTACACTACGCCGAGGTTGAGCACCGCGTGTGAGATTCTCCGTTCGATCCAATCTCGACTGCCCCGCGAGTTCCGTTGGCTTGCAAGAAGGTAAGGGTAATGTTGGTTGACTGCGGGCGAAGCGTCGGGAGCGGTCAGCAACCGGCATCCGTTCGATGTCTCGCCGGGTCGTTCGGAGGCCTGAGAAGTAGAGGAGCAGCGCTGTCTTGCATTTTTCCAGAAATGGTTTGTTATGTTTCGAATCAAAGGAGACCAACGCCACTGGCAGAAGGTTTGACAAAGGCAAGGGCGACGACGGTCTTTGTCTAGGGCCTGCGACGGGTCGAAAACAGCCATGCGGATCTCTCGACGACAGGCCAGACAGCACAGCGTGTGCAACTGCAGGGCTCGTCCGGTTCATCGCTCGTCGTCTGGACCACCATGAGTTGCTGTGGGTGGTGGGTGCCGCCGCAACAGATGCAGAGTGCAGAGAAGCATGCAAGCGGCATTCCTGTCCTGGTCCAAGATCGACGCAGGAAATTAAACCCCCAAGCCTATCGTCATTCTTGATAGGGCGAGGGGCACGGGTGGGAGGCAGCAGGTGCAGTAGCAGCAGCATTGCGTCTTGCGTGTGTGATGGTGCGTTGTCAACCACGAGACAGGACGAGACGAGTGCGCATTGCGCATTCGAATGTCAGTCGTCTGCCGCCGCCGGCTTGTCACAGTTGAGGTCCAGGTCCACCGACGATGCTCCCATCCCGTCCACCTTGTTCGCATGTCGGACGGCATGATGGCAACCGTGACTTGCTTGGAACACGACAAGCAGGAATGTCTCTGGCCCTGGGACTAGAGACTAGGCCGTGGTGTTCGGTTGCACTGTAGCGAGGGCCAGGCTAGCTAGCGGCGGACGAACAAAAGTCGCGGGTAAGCCGCTAGTGGCCATGCGTCGCCGCCAATGCTCATCATGGTTTCCACTGTGCGAGGCGCTCAAGGGGTCATGGCACCCGTTTTGCCAGGTTTCTTGGTTTCGTCTCCGCGCTGCGTGCCTCGTACCTCGCCGATGGCGTTTGGCGCGGCCCCGGTGGTCGGCCTCACGATGTTGATCTGGGACGGCGAGTCACCGAGCGTCGGAGGCAGATGCAGACGCAGATGCAGTCGCAGTGCGAAGCACGCACAGTGATTACAGGTGCGTGCAAGGACCGATGGCGGGTGCTGCTCAAAGGGGGAAGCCGACGACGGCGAGTGGAAGCACTGTACTTTTGGGGCGAGTTGATCTTCCGCCGGAGAGGAAGCTTGCTGCTGCACGGCACGGTACGAGTGAGTGTACGAGACGAGCGAGTGCATTGCACATTGAGTGGTGTGGAGCTGCATTGCTGATCGTCGTCCTGCGGCTGGGGGAGCAATTGGGAACCGACAGTTCACCGCAAAAGACTCGGGCACGGCGGACAGGCGATGGCTGTCGATGGAGTGCCCTCGTGTCTCTTTTTTCCTTTTCTGATAAGCAAATCTGGATGGCGCGGGGTCTGCGATGGGCAGATGGAGGCGGGGAGAGCCCAGTCGTGTGCTGACAAGGAGGTGCAGCCAAGGGCGAGGGTACGGATAGAGTTGGCTCGACATGTGCAATGACGACGATGGGCTGGTCTCCTGCTGGATACGGCAAGCAACGGTAGTTGGCGGTGACGGTAGTTGGTAGGCCTTGATATTTGGTTGCGCTCATGTGCAGTATCATGGAAGCGCTTGGTACCGCGCACTTGGTGCTCTCGTCCTTGGTAATTCGTCCTGGTTATCCTTGGTTGATGGTTAGCGAGACCAGAGGGCTGACATGCGTCGGTATTACCCTGAACTGAGGTTGGCACGGCCGGGATGAGAGCAAGAAAGCTGACTCGGGGATACTGTGCGGTGAAGGCTTCGGTAGGGCAAGCCGACAGACCGAAAACATGGTTGCGGCGGGCACTCAGGGTGATTGGAGGCGGTGCCGTCTCTTCTCTGCGGTGGGCAGGGTCGTCATGCGAGCAATGAACAACGATGATGGATGCTGCGGAGGATTGACAGCATGGATGGGAGATGGAAGCCGCGAACAAGACTAGAAGAAAAGACGACGGGGCCGAACTAGGGACGAAAGAGGGAAGAGAGTGTCGACGGGGGTGTCCTGTGCAAGACCTGACATTTTTCTTGGGTGGTGGTTAGGTCTCTGATGAATTGTTGGTTGGCAGGACGAAGCCGTTGAAGAAAAAGAGTGTCGATGAGGAATCTCACGATGGACGAAAATGTCAGTCGTATGCGAGGAAGGGCCTAATGCAGCTAGGGGGAAGGAAGCAAGAGACAGGTGCAAGGCAAGAAGTTATCTTGCATGCGCCTTCTGGCAGGAGCATGGCTGGTGGCCGTGGTTGCCCTTTCGAGGTAGGCAGGCACAAGCAGCGGTTTGGGTGCAGGAGCCATTTGCAACGTGGAAGCCAATTGAGTTACCGTTGTCAGTCAAATTATATGAGGTGCATAAGTAGGGACCTGGGCAGAGTCTTTTGACTTGCTCAAACTCCTTTACTCTGACAATGGAAACTCGCAACTCAGCCTCTGCCCTCTGCTTGAGTTCCAACAACAGTAACTGACTGCTATTTTTACTCTGTTGCCGCGCTTCAGGGCGGCTGCGGATACTCTACCGCCCAGCGCCCTGTCTGCCCTACGGCCTGCAGACCAAGCTGAGGTGCGTGATTCGTACATTAAGGTACGGGCTGCTCGTACGGGACGGACAGCCAGGCCAAGGACGGATACCGATGCAGGATCACTTGCTTGCTTGCGCGTTTTCCGTTCCGTCTGGGTCCATCTTTTGCCAGGGCCTGGAGCAGATGCATGCAATGCGCTGCTGCACCACCGCAGCAGGCCTGGGAAGAGACGAAGAGGGGAGGGCTGAGTTGGATTGCTGATTTTCAAAAGATTGATTGGAAGCTCGCCTGCTGCCAACTCACTCAGCACCAAAGTCCCTACGTCTGGTCTGGGTTGACTGGACATGATCCAAAGCCCAATGTCCAATGGCTACTATGTATTGTCCAAGGTGATGCTAACCAGTGGCCACCTTCCGCGTATCGTCGCTCAGTGTCTAGCGCG